TAATTATTATAGGGCTATATTGTCAGGTTTTTAACACACGTAGATGTAATAGATTTGACAAAAATAGAATAAAGAAGGGGAAGAAATAGAACTACATTGCTATACTTTATTGGATTTAAGTCATTATAAATCTGAAATAGTTTCTCATAAGTTAAAAATTCATATTGTAGTTCCTAGAGCAATCACTAAGAAATGAGCTTAGAAACATAGAAACAGTGGAATTAAAATAATACAATAGAAATATTGTAAAGAATTTATCAGTTACACCTTATATATGTATATATTCTGGCTGATCTGTGTCTTTGTTGCAGCACGCAGGGGCTTCTCTGATTGGGTTCTCTAGTTGTAGCCCCTGGGCTTAATTACCCCACTAAATGTGGGCTCTTAGTTCCCTGACCAGGGGTAGAACCTGTGCTCTCCGCATTGGAAGGTGGATTCTTAACCACTGGACGATCAGGGAAGTCCCAATAAAAATATTTTTAACACAAGAGAAGGCAGTGTAGAAGGAACACAGTTTCTCTGTGTTAATGGGACAGTTCTGTGTTGATTGTTGTGGTGGTTGCATGGTGGTTATACTTGTGATAAAATTGCATAGAACTAATACCCAGTAACAGGGGGCTACCCAGGTGGTGCAGTGGGAAAGAATCCACCTGCCAATGCAGGAGATGCAAGAGATGGGGGCTCTGTCCCTGGGTTGGGAAGATCCCCTGGAATAAGAAATGGCAACCCAATCCAGTATTCTTGCCTGGAAAATTCCATGGACAGAGGAGCCCGGCAGGCTACAGCCCTTGAGGTCATAAAGAGTCAGACGTGACTGAGCGACTGAGCACACACATACACAACATGTGCACACACACTTGAGTACACGTGAAACCTGCGAAATCTGAATGAGGTCTGCAGTCAAGCCCACAGCATCACGCCAATGTCAATTTCCTTATTTTTATATTGTACTATCGTATAGCATAATTGTGTTGGTAATTATTTAACTGTATACATTGGCAAGACTCATTGAGCTCTACATATAAATTGATGATTTTCATTGGACGTAAATTATACCTCAGAAAGCTAATTTAAAAATATAAAACAATTTAAAAAATAAACAAAAGAAACTATAAAACAGTAAATACTACAGTCACCTAAAGAAGGAGGAAGGAAGGGAAAGAGGGGGGAAGGAACACACACCCCACCAACCACAGCCATGACAATAACAATACTATCATTTACATCCTCAGAGACATAAACGATAAAAGGAACTCATGAATTAGCATTGTGGCAGCAGATTTGAAAAAGCACAAGGACCGAAAGTTTAAGTTAGAGAAAACCTCCCATAAAGTAGTAAAAAAAAAAAAAAAGAAGAAGAAGAAGAAAGAAAAAAAATAAGATTAAATATAAAATTAGAAGACCATCTGGGAGATGCAACATCTGAATGATGGAAGTTCCAGATGGGAAAACGGAGAAAGCAGAGGGGAGAGAATCAACAAAATACTTCAGGAGAATTTCCCAACCCTAAGATGCATGTGTATTGTGATTGACAAGTAGACAAAAAGTACATGTACTCTATAAATACAACTATGTCAAATATGTATAAATATACGTATACAGTTGTGTAAAATATACTTACATGGACAGAGACCAGAGGAAATACACATAGGAAAAAAAAAGTTATTTTGTTATAATGATGATATGAGTCTTTTAAATTTTATTTTAAATTATGAATATTTATATAAATTAAGATAAAAAACCATTGCTTTTAATCTCGCCCCCAAGTGCCTGCAGAACAAAGTCCAAATTTGCCTAATAAAAATTCTATAATGGCTCTCCATTACCTTAAGTTCTTTCAGGATTGTCAACAAGAAATTGTGAAGTTTGTTCTGCCTGCATGCTCCCATCTCCTGCCACATCCCTCCACCCACCTGCGACTCCCATCTTATCAGAACAGCCAGCAGCAGAGGCTTCTTGAGGAACCCCCAGCATCTGGAAGGAACTCCTCCTTCTCGCCAGGTCTCCATGGTAACACTTAACCACTCGGTTGTAAGCTGAGTTATCCCTTGATTTGGATGCCTGATTTCAAGCAGAAGAAACCAATTTCCTGGGGTCTGCTGCACACTGTAGGCACTTTAAACAATTGTTCAATGTTTGGGGTGAGGGAAGGGTGGTGATTATAATGCTGCTTCTTTCACGAAGACTTCCTGATGGTGGCTGACCACACAACCACCACCACCTCCGCCATTCCAGGAGAAATCAAACTTTCCCTCTGTGTTGCCACAGCATTTTGTGTGACCTTGGGTGACTTATTCTATTATTCAGTTTCCTTATCTGTAAAATTGGGGCAAGAATGCTACCTACCTTATGAGGTTACTGTGAGGATTAAATCAGGTTACGTTTGGTGCCTTAGGGGTAAAGAACTCACCTGCCAATGAAGGATATGTGAGTTTGATCCCTGGGTCGGGAAGATCCCCTGGAGAAGGAAACGGCAACCCACTCCAGGGGTATCTTAATTCCCCAACCAAAGATCGGACCCGTGCCCCCTGCAGTGGAAGCACAGAGTCCTAACCACTGGACCACCAGCGATTATAAACTGCCCATGGGTGGGGAAACTATCTTGTTGATCTTCGTATATTGCAGATATATATGGCATGCTGTCTAGCAGCTGTTGTTGTTGTTTAGTTGCTGTCATGTCTGACTCTTCTGCAGCCCCATGAACTGTAGCCCACCAGGCTCCTCTGCCCATGGGGTTTCCCAGGCAAAAATACTGGAGTGGGTTGCCAAGCTCTCCTCAGGGGGATCTTCTAGACCCAGGGATCGAACCCATGTCTCCTACATTGGCAGGCGGATTCTTTACCACTGAGCCACTAGGTAGCCATCCAGAAGATCTTCCTTGACTGCGCACAGACAAGCACACACGGGGTCTGTAGGACACACGTGGTCAGCATGTTTTTCTGTGCACACTTGGGGACACACGTGGTCAGCATGTTTTTCTGTGCTCATCATGGCTGACCGTCCAGTCTGCAGCATTCGGCCGTGATGACCGCCTCCTCCTTCTGGAGGTGCACCATCCTGCAGCCAAGGCTCATGGGACCTTCCCTCTCTTGGATTTCCACCTGCGTCTCTGGAAGTACCCCTCAGCCTCTTCTCGCCCCAGGCCCTTCCCCCACTTGCCCTTGAACATGTTTTCCTAGTGCATCTCAGCCCTGCTCTTCTCACTTTGGACTCTGTTGGGCGAACTTCATCAAAACCAGGGATTCACTGGAAAAGTCCGGAAAAGTCACAAGCCTGGGTTATCACCCGCCGAGCTCTCTGTGCTGACCTCCGGGCCTGCAAAACCCAAAGGACTTCCTACTCTCCTTCTGTCATCTCCAGTGCAGAGCCAATTACAAGACCCCAGCTGTTGTCACCTGCACCAGCTTGCTCACACCTGAGGCTCCCCCCGCCCCCGCCCCTAGTGGCGCTGTGTCAGCTCAGATCCTCCGCTTTCCACCTGGAAAATAAGCTCCCCTCTGTTCTCTTGGCTGATGCCAGAGTAAGTTCTCACCGGCTGTGTTTCTTCCTGAAATCCTGTCCCTGGGAATAAACGGATGCCTACTTGGGTAGCTGTGTGTTGAATCAACTATGGCAAGGTGCTAACTGCAGAAATTAGGGGATAGACATGGGGGTGTTTGTTGCAATTCTTTCAACTCCTTTGTGCTTCACAATTTCCAGAAGGTGTTGGGGGAAATATCCTTCAGTGGCTTATTTTGGCTTTGGGGATAAATCTCAGACTCTGTCATGTAGACCATAAGACTCTGTGATCCAGCCACTGCTTCCTTGGTGACATCATCTGCTACTACTGACACGTTCCTTTCCCACACATCGTTCCTTTTCTATTTTTTAACTTTTTAAATTTTGTATTGAGATACAGCCGATTAGCAATGTTGTGTTATCACAACATTGTGATAACAGGTGGACAAAGGGACTCAGCCATAAATATGCTCGTATCTGTGCATGAGTGCTCAGACATATCCGATTCTTTGTGACCCCATGGATTGTGACCCGCCAGGCTCCTCTGTCCATGGAATTCTCCAAGCAAGAGTACTGGAGTGGGTTGCCATTTCCTACTCCAGATGATCTTCCCTGGAAGATAGAACCTGCATCTCCTGCATCTCCAGCATTGGCAGGTGGATTCTTTACCACCGCTCCACCTGGGAAGCCCATATACATGTATCTAATCTTCCCTAAACTCCCCTCCAATCCAGGCTGCCACATAACATTGAGCGCCCTATGCTATACAGTAGGACCTTGTTGGTTATATATACATGGCAGTGTATACATGTCCCTCCAAACTCCCTATCTCTTCCCCCATCCTTCTGCCTGGCAACTATAAGTTCTCCCACAAACCATCCTGAATTACTCGGGAACCCCAGCAGAGTATGTGGTGTCTCATTCCTCTGGGTCCACGAACCCGCTGTTCCCAATTCCTGGAATGCCCTTCCCTGCATTCTTCTCTGGTGATCCCCAGCCCCTGTGCACTCTTCTGACTCATCTCAAGGGACACCTCCTCCAGGGAGCCCTCGCCCATTCCTCATTTCGAGCTCCCTCCCGAATCTCAGCAAAGAATTGTGGTAGAAGGGTCTCACCTAGGGCTGGATTTGCAAATTTGCGGCAGCCCTGGAAGCCTGGCCTGAGGCCGGGGCTCTGGTTACCCTGCGTCTCCGAGAATCACCTAAGATCTCTCATTTCTTCCCTCGGAGGATATCCTCAGGCAGCTGCCGTGCCCTTGCGACAGACACACTTAGCAGGCTGAGCAAATCCCCAGGCTCAAACGGACAGGCCGACCTCGGAGACTCCAGCCGCGAAAGCTGACCCGGCCCCCTTCACGAAGCCCGGGAGCCTGCGGGCGGGGACTGCGCCCCGCCGGTGGGGGAAGGCCCCCCCGAGGAAGAGGTCCAGGCTGGGGAGGGAAGAGGGCGGGGCCTGCGGCCGTTCTAGTCCGTGTCCCGGGCCTGGGACGGAAGTTGCAGAAGTACAATTAGTTTCAGTTTTGTTTCTCTTTCAGGAGCCCGGCAACAGCCGCATCAGGGCCTCCGAGGGGCGGGGCGGGGGGGTCCCCCAGCTCTGGGTCCTGGAGCCCAAGCTAGGTAAGGAGGGGGCTTGGGGGGCGGCTGGAGGGAGGGGTGGACTGGAGGGGGTGGGGGAAGGGAGCCGGCCGGAGGAAGAGGAAGGGAGGGGAGGGGGACGGAGACCCAGAGGGCGGGAGCCGAGGGGAGGCTCCTCTCTTCGGGGCCAGAGAGCTGAGGTCTCCTTGGAAAGACCCCCCTCTTCCCACTCTCTCAGCGCTGCCCACCACCCTCCCCCGGCCCCTACTTTCTGGAAGTTTGGGGAAAACGCCCCAAGTTTCTTTATCAAGTATTTCACTGGCCACTGTGCCGGATGCTGGGGGCATTCACAGACGGAGCCTCACGTGACTCCGACCCTCCAGAGGCTCCTCGGAAAGGAGGAGGCCTCCGGCAGCAAGACGGGCGGAGAGGAAAGGGCTGGGGGAGCCGGGGCTCGGACCCAGAGTCCGAGGAGCTGGAAGGAAAGAGCCTGGCAGCCCCTTCCCCTCGGCCTCCCCTCTGACTTCTCCAGAGCCCATTGCGGGGCAGTCGGGGCAGGAAGTGGGGGGGCCCCCAGTTCCTGTGATGGTGCTGCTGCTGCGGGGAGGTGGGGGGGGGAGAGTGGTTCCAGGATGCAGGTGTACCCGACCCTGGGACTTGGGGCCCCAGCAATTGAAGCCTGTTGTTCCGCCCCACCTGCCAGGAATCAAGGGGACTCTGCCCACCTGGACCCTCAGCTGTGGCCTCCCTGCCCCCCCACCCCAGCCCGGCAGCTCTCACCCAGCAGGGTGCCCAGGGTCTGTTCACACCAGACTCTCACCCCATGTGCCACAAGCCCTGTCAACAGCGGGGCGGGCAGGGAGGGGCACCCATCATTACCCCGTGGGCTCTCTAAGGCCCAGCCTTTTGGTCTCTTCAGATCTCACAGGGCCTGACACGCGCCAAGGCAGCCTTTACTTTTTCGCATTTCTGAATGTCTGTACGGAGGAGGGAGGCAGTTCTTTAGCTCCAGAGACGGCAAGAAAATTCCCGGCCATTCAGGTTAGACCCCAGACCTGGTGGGGCTCTTGAGTATGGGGGAGAGGTGGGAGGGCAGAGGGTGGCCACTTCAGGAGTGCCCTCTGACCTCTGACCTCGACCTCTTGCTTGCAGAATGGTTTCCCAGGGCTCCTCACCCTCCCTCCTGGAGGCCCTGAGCAGCGACTTCCTGGCCTGTAAAATCTGCCTGGAACAACTGCGGGTGCCCAAAACGCTGCCCTGCCTGCACACCTACTGCCAGGACTGCCTGGCACAGCTGGCCGAGGGCGGCCACCTCCGATGCCCCGAGTGCCGTGAGTCTGTGCCCGTGCCGCCCGCGGGCGTGGCCGCCTTCAAGACCAACTTCTTTGTCAACGGACTCCTGGATTTGGTGAAGGCCCGGGCCGGCGGCGACCTGCGGGCAGGGAAGCCGGCCTGTGCCCTGTGCCCCCTGATGGGGGGCGCCAGCGCCGGGGGGCCAGCCACTGCCCGCTGCCTGGACTGTGCCGACGACCTGTGCCAGGCCTGTGCCGACGGGCACCGGTGCACCCGGCAGACCCACAGCCACCGGGTGGTGGACCTGGTGGGCTACAGGGCGGGGTGGTACGACGAGGAGGCCCGGGAGCGCCAGGCGGCCCAGTGCCCCCAGCACCCCGGGGAGGCCCTGCGCTTCCTGTGCCAGCCGTGCTCCCAGCTGCTGTGCCGAGAGTGTCGCCTGGACCCTCACCTGGACCACCCCTGCCTGCCCCTGGCTGAGGCTGTGCGCGCCCGGAGGCCAGGCCTCGAGGAGCTGCTGGCCGGCGTGGACAGCAACCTGGCTGAGCTGGAGGCCACCCGGCTGGCCGAAAAGGAAGCCTTGGCCCGGCTGCGGGAGCAGGCGGCCAAGGTAGTCATGCAGGTGGAGGAGGCGGCCGAGGGGGTCCTCAGGGCCCTCCTGGCCCAGAAGCAGGAGGTGCTTGGGCAGCTGCGGGCCCACGTAGAGGCTGCCGAGGAGGCTGCTCGGGAGCGGCTGGGGGAGCTGGAGGGCCGGGAGCAGGTGGCCAGGGAGGCGGCTGCCTTTGCCCGTCGGGTGCTCAGCCTGGGGCGCGAGGCTGAGATCCTCTCTCTGGAGGGGGCGATCGCCCAGCGGCTCCGGCAGCTGCAGGGCTGTCCCTGGGTGCCTGGGCCCGCTCCCTGCCAGCTGCCCCAGCTGGAACTGCATCCCGGGCTCCTGGACAAGAACTGCCACCTGCTGAGGCTCTCCTTTGAGGAGCAGCAGCTGCTGAAGGACAGCAGGAAGGATGGAGCCCGAAGCCCGGGAGGTGACGCAGCCCAGCCCCAGAGCAGGGATGGAGTGCAGACCCCAAATCAGGACAGAGCGCAGACACCCCAAGAAGATGAAGCCCAGCCCCTCAAGGCGGAGAGAGCTGAGACGCCCCAGGAAGATGGAGCCAAGACCCCCAAAGAGGGCAGAGCCCAGACACCCCAAGAAGATGGAGGAACCCAGGCCGCAAGGGGCGGCAGATCCAACAAGAAGAGGAAGTTCAAAGGCAGACTCAAGTCTGTCTCCCGGGAGCCCAGCCCCGCCCCCGGTCCAAACCTGGAGGGCTCCGGCCTCCTGCCCAGGCCCATCTTTTTCTGCAGCTTCCCCACGCGGATGCCGGGGGACAAGCGCGCCCCCCGGATCACTGGGCTCTGTCCCTTTGGCTCCCGGGAGATCCTGGTGGCCGATGAGCAGAACCGGGCCCTGAAGCGCTTCTCTCTCAATGGCGACTACAGGGGCGCGGTACCCGTGCCCGAGGGCTGCTCCCCATGCAGCGTGGCCGCCCTGCAGGACGCCGTGGCCTTCTCAGCGGCCGCGCGGCTCTATCTCATCAACCACAACGGAGAGGTGCAGTGGCGCCGGGCGCTGAGCCTCTGCCAGGCCAGCCACGCCGTGGCCGCCATGCCGAGCGGGGACCGGGTGGCGGTCAGCGTGTCCGGCCACGTGGAGGTGTACAACATGGAAGGCAGCCTGGCCACGCGGTTCATCCCCGGGGGCAAGGCCAACCGGGGCCTGCGGGCACTGGTGTTCCTGACCACCAGCCCCCAGGGCCATTTTGTAGGGTCTGATTGGCAGCAGAATAGCTTGGTGGTCTGTGATGGGCTGGGTCAGGTGGTTGGGGAGTACCGAGGACCCGGCCTGCACGGCTGCCAGCCGGGCTCCGTATCCGTGGATAAGAAAGGCTACATCTTTCTGACCCTTCGCGAGGTCAACAAGGTAGTGATCCTCGATCCAAAGGGCGCGCTGCTTGGCGACTTCCTGACGGCCTATCATGGCCTGGAAAAGCCCCGGGTGACCACCATGGTGGACGGCAGGTACCTGGTCGTGTCCCTCAGTAACGGGACCATCCATGTCTTTCGGGTCCGCCCTCTTGACAGTTAAAAGGCTGGGACCGGGGAGGGACTGGGTGGTGGGGGGAAGGAAATGACGGGGGGAAGGCAGGCAGGGCCGCCCAGGACATGGGGCGGCCAAGGACATTTTCTCAGACGGCAGTGGTTGACAGCTTTTCACAATGTGAAGTGCCAAACCCGTCTGCAGTTGCAGGGATGGGGACCAAGCAGGGTTGGCATGACCATAATTCTCAGATGCAGAAGAGGAGGGGTTGGAGAGGTACTGGGCATTAACGCCTCTTGCTTTTGAATTGGGGGGAGTGACTGCCACTGCCGCTAGTATAGAGTCTAGGTTTCCAAGATATGTAAACTAGTTCTGATTTGCGTTCTTCTTCAAAACCATTCCTGATGGGGTGGCCCGTGGAGAGGCTTGGGGAGGTGGGTAGAGATTGTCCTTGGAGCCAAGAAGGGCTCAGGATATGTTGGTTATGTACTTTGCCGAAGAGAGCTGAGAACCCGTTCTTCAACTGGAAGGGGACAGGCTAGGTTAGCAGGGGCCTGAGGTTTTGAACCCGGCAGTCAATGAATGACATCTTTCACCACAGAGATGGAAGAGCTGAGGTCATTCATTGCCTTTAGCCACAGCCGGGAAATTGAGGCTCCTCCTCCAATAGTGGCATCCCCCAGTGAAGAATGAGGTGGGCTTCATGGGGGACCAAGTATAGACACTACCCCAGGGCAAAGGATGTTTACCTTAAAGCCCGTGAAGAGAATGTGCTGTTAGAAAACAGAACCTGGTAGGACTGGAGTTTAAAACACAGGGTTCCTAGTGTGAGAGAAGGGGACACCCTGGGGCTTACCCCAATCCTCACCTCCAAGCCATCCTGAGGTCACACCTCTGTAGAATATAAAGTCTCTTCTGTTTTGATGTCTTAATACTTCCTGGAGTTTGTTTTTAGCCCCTTCTTAGTTTTCCAGCACAATTCCTTTTGAGAAATTCTGGCTGAACTAAAGTGTTAAAGGCATTTGTTTGTATTGCTATTATGGGTGGGGAACACACCTAATCCTAGAGGCCAGGTGTGGAACTCAGGGGCCAAACCAGTTGGAAGACCTGAGAAGTCAGGAGTGGTCCTGAGATGGGTGGAGGAGTGGAAATCGCATGGAGGGATCGTGTCAGAAGTGAGCCGTGACCACAGGCCCTTTGCATGGGCCGTGGCAGTGGTGGAATGGAGGTGGCCATGGTTAGCTAGGGGCTGTTGAGAGATGACCAAAGGGAATCTTAATGTAAGGATCATGGACCATGAGTGGTCATGGGAAGCAGAGAGATTTTGGACAAGTCCAGATGGAAAGTACAGGACTTTAGGTGGAGGGAAAAGAAAATATTTTTCTAGGGAGAGCATTGATTTGTTTCGTGAAGTGAAGGGGTAAATAATCAATGTCAAGTGTATGGATTCAGTTATAAAATTTTGAGATGTATGCACAGCAAATAATAATGACGATTAAAGGAAAAATCGATGAGGGGAGGAAATTACAGAGCGTTGATCTGAGAGCTGAGTCTCTAGGGTATACAGTGACTTAAAGAGATCTACTTGGTCAAAGGACCAAATAAGTTGGGTCCCCAGAAGGGAATCCACACGGGCCAGGACACATAAAATGAAAAATAAAATCAACCATTTGCATTCGTCAAAAAAATATTTTGAAGCTCTATCATGGGGAAATAGGCTCCTGGCATGATAAATGCTTCCTGGAGATCGGTTTGGCAGGACTTGACAGGAGTCAAAGAAATGATTGTAAGATGAAGTTACTTCACATTGGGGAATACATTCTGGGAAAAGAATTGAAAAAGGAAAAGAATTTGCAGATAGGTATTTGTGACCACGCTGTATGTAATAGTCACTGACAGGAAACAGCTCAGTTCTGGAAGGAATAGCCAAGTTGATTGTGGTCTAGCAGGACAATGAGTTACTGCCTTTATGACAACTATGAGAACTATTTAGACGAGTATGATGTTCTGTGATGCAATCATAAGCAAAAAAAAAAAAAAGCTTTTGGATTTCTGATCACATCATTATAGCAACAAGGTAAAAGCATGTCTGAATAGTTTACTGCGTGTAAACAGGTGCAGAATGTGTAAATAGTGACAGGGGAGGTTGGGTTCTTTTTGAGTTATTTCATGTTGTTATTCATATATGCACATTTCTACTTCAGTTACTATTGTCCATTAAATAACACATATGCTTAACTACTTGCTGCAGAAAAATACACCTCTATAAATGATATTCAAGAATAACTCCTGGATTTGCAAATGAATGTCAGAATAAAGGAGACTGTTCTGGTGGGGGTAGGGGTAAGGCAGGAGCGAAGGGGAGAATCCCAGGGGGTCTGGACCCAGCAGGGAGGAAAGGCCAGCAGATCAGGGGTCTGTTTGGTGACTGACCATGGAATCTTCCCTGGGAAGGTTTGCAGTGGTCAGGTGGTCCCCATGGATGATATGTCATTGTGGAGTGTCCAGAGGCAAGAGACGGTCTTATTGAGTTCACCAACTCATTCAGACCAACTGGAAACCGAATTGTGGTTCTACGGAACCGGGTGGTATAGGATGAGTTGCACAAGTGGGGAGACTGTGTCTGCCTTCTTTACATCCCTCTCTACAGAGTCAGCACAGTGACAGCTCCTAGTAGGTGCTCAGTAAACATCTGTGGAGTGAATTCATGTCTAGTAAACAGTGGGACCCACTAAGGTGTCCAAAACCTTGGCTTGTGGGAAATCTCCAGTAGGGGGCACTGTGGACTCAGCCTATCCTAATCCTCCAGGAGTGTGACTCAGCTTTGAGTCACAAAAGAGATGAAATCGGGGTGTCCTGTTTATATGTCCTGGGGCGTTCTGGCCTCTAAGGGATAAATACCTTCAGGTTAGAACAGCAGTTTTGCAGAGCTGCATGGGAACCGCGTGCAGAGAGCTGGGCTGGTGGAATGGCTCCAGCCAGGAGGTGGGAATAGAGAACTTCAGAGGGGAAGTACCACCTGGATACAGGAAGAGAATCCCACAGAGGTTCTGAAGATGAAGCAGTTGTGGGGGACACCATGAGAGCCCTGGGAAGCCAGGCTTGGGGCGATGGACAGAAGTACTGCGTTTTCCCGGTGAGGGGCTCAATCGAGGTGGGAAGGCACACAGCAGTGGGGAAATGTGAAATGGATGGGAAGTATAGCATTGAGCATCATTTTGGAAGGAAAATCCCCAGCCTCCCAACTGTGACCTGGGAATCCTAACAAATCCTGATGCCGAAAGCACCACCCAGCACCGGGAGAAAGAGTTCTTTGTTTCAACTACAGATGTTAAGAAATCAGGAACATCATGAAATATATGACATCCCCCCATCCCACCCCCGCATTAGACTGTGACAGTTAGCTTGATCCATCATTCCTTTTCCTGTTTGGGACTTCCCAGATTGTGTACAAAAGGAGGATGCCATTTAGGTAGAGAAAAAGGGAGAAGGGAACCTCGTTTGTATTTTTGTGCCTGCAAAAGAAAAATGAGTGAGGCAGCGGAGATCTGGGTTGAATGCTGGCTTCCCTTGTGGCTCAGCTGGTAAAGAATCCACCCGCAATGCGGAAGACCTGGGTTCAATCCCTGGGTTGGGAAGATTCCCCTGGAGAAGGGAAAGGCTACCCACTCCAGTATTCTGGCCTGGAGAATTCCATGGCCTGTAAAGCCCATGGGGTCGCAAAGAGATACAACTGAGCGACTTTCACTTTCACCTTCTTCCAACTAAACAACTGTGTGATATTGGTCGAGCTCCCTAACCTCTCTGGACCTGTTTCTACATCAGTAAAATACCCATCATAACATCCACCATGCCCACCTCACAGGGTTGTCGTGAGGACTGGCTGAGCGGCATGGAGAATTTTGTACACCCTAAAGCTCAAACTGGAGGTCTTGTTAGAAAAAATCTTAACCAACTTGTATTCATAGTACTGAGTTAATGCTTTTCTGTCAGGGTAAGCCTGAAAGGGGATGTGGTATGCATGTAATGTGAAGGAAAGGCTCGAGAATGTCTGGGTAGAGCTGTTATCTGCTTCTCTGTTGGAGGAGACTCTTCAGTTCTGCTTTCCAGCGTTTATTTGAAGAAGCCATTTGCTAAGTCTCAACAGTTACCACAGGTGCAGAAGAGACCAATGGCCAGCTTGCTGAGGCTCAAGTTCTGCTCCTAAAAGCCAGCTGAGAATCCGGCTATACTAACCTGTATACTAACACGTAGAAGAAATGGCAAGAGTAGCCCAGTTTTGTTTTGTTTTGCTTTTGTAAGTTAGAGAAGATAACAATTTGGGAGGGAGTCGCTCTCCTTTTGCCATAGTCTTATTATTACTGTATCTATAAAGCCATTCATAGAATATTCTACAGAGATAATATTCCACTGGGGCCGATGTCCAAGAGAGAAGTCAGAAGTCTTCCAAGGAAGTTGATGAGGTTGGTGACCAGAGCTGGGCAGGGTGTGAAAAGTGTGTGCCAGTATCAAGGTATTTTGATCATCTCTCCCGAGCTTCCTTGGTGGCTCAGCGTTGAAGAGTTCGCTTCCTGGGTCAGGAAGATTCCCCTGGAGAAGGCAATGGCAACCCACTCCAGTGTTCTTGCCCGGAGAATCCCATGGACAGAGGAGCCTGGTGGGCTACAGTCCATGAGTCCTCAGGAGTCAAGACACAACTTAGTGACTAAACCACCACCTAGACGGGTTAGCTGAGAACTGGAACCACCTGGAAGTTAAGTGGGCGGTTGGACGGGGGTGCAGAGTTCTGTCTGGGGGAGACAGTAGCCTTGGACTGATGGGGGCAGGGAGCTGCCAGAGACACTGCTCAAGAAGTCATTCCCAACAGGAGAAAGAGCAAGTTCAGATGTAGGCTTAGAAAAACAGGCAACTTGACCCAAGGCAGCAGATCAAGCCAGCCCAACTGGTTCATGAATGTAGTTTAATGAATCCGAATGGGAACAGAAATAGATGAAGGGACCACACAGTGACTAGAAGAGTAGAGAGTGCTCAGCAGGGTCTGGCTGACCTCACCCGAAGCCCAGGGAAGGAATCGGGCCAGGCAGAGAAGGGCCGTAAAGGCAACTGGGAAGTAGTTTGGGGAGGCTTTGGAAGGCAATCTGACTTCTCTTCGGAGGGTGTTTTGAGCTGGTTGGGTTAGCAGCCAAGAGAAATGGGATTGAAAATAGAATTGGGGCCTCCATACCCTTGGTGTCGGCCCAGCAAATATTTCTTAGTTGCCACTGGCCTGAAGAAGCTATGTTGTAAACGCTTTCATTCCTTTGTGTTACTTTATACCTTTTTCCCACCCACCCCCCTTTTCTTAATAAATGCTTTTGAAAAATGTGAACCTTTTCTCAGATGGTTCATGCGTGTGGGGAACAATCAACACCCAGGTAGGGAAGGGAATCAGATACTTTGGCCCTCCCGGCTGTGACTGTGAGGATGCTACCCGGAGTCCTTGGAGACATTTCAGGCACAGGGTGATTGGCCCTGTCATCATCTGTGGTTCCCTGTCCTCGTCCTGGGCCACTCCTGCGTCTGTAGAACAGGGGGCCCCTCTGGGCAGAGGTCTGCATCTTCCAGGCTCACGTTCTGTGGGAGGGAGCCAGCAGGTGATCTGGCCCAGCAGGATCCCTGACGTTGTGTGTGAAGGAGGTGAGTGAGGGCGCAAGGCAGGGTGGCTGTGCACATCACTGGTCTCTGCTTGTTTTCTGGTTTGCGGGCTCCACCTGACCTGCTGCGTCTCTGACTCCAGGGTGGCCCCTGCAGGGCTGGGAGTATCCACCTACTGGCTAAACCTACCCCCTCTGACCTGCTCTCCAAAGTCCCTCCAGGAGTCCTTGAGACTCCCCTCTGAGTCCTGAGCAGGAAGAAGGAAGATCTCCAGTCCTTACTTCTTTTTTTTTTTCTTTTAGTTCTACCACTATTGCTACCAACCCATCTCCCTCCACCCTCGGGCACACATGCTCAGTCATGTAACCCCATGGACTGCAGCCCGCCAGGCTCCTCTGTCCGTGGACTTTTCCAGGCAAGAACACTGGAGTGGGTTGCCATTTCCTTCTCCTGGTCCTTACTTCTAATTCACTCCACCTCTGTCCTCCCCATCAAATGCAGGGGTCAAACAGCCGTTCCCGAGGGTCGCCTCCCTGAGCTTCACACCCACTGACTGCCGGAATGGAAGTGGTCACCACCAGCACTGTTAACAGACGCGGAACCCGAGACCTGGGAGGTTTGCTCACTAGAGGCAGATTTTGTTTCTGACCCCAAAGCTGCAGATTCGAGCAGCTCTGAATCCTAAGCCTGTGTCTGTTTCCTCGTTCATCGATGAGAGAGCTGAACGAAACGAGATCCGAGGTTCTTCCCTGAGCTAACAGGCCAGGACCCATCCCCAAACGGTCCAGAATCTAGACACAGAAAGGGAAGCTTGGCAGTGCCCCGGGCACCCCAACACCATCTTAATGCTCCTTGCCAGAGCACCCCCTACCCCAGATGGAGCAGGCATGACAAGTGATAAGAGAATGCTCTAAGTGGCCTGGTGGGGAGGCAGGAGGTGGGGATGAGGGCCCACCACTGCTGCGGTGACAGCCTGAACAAGAATTCTGCAATTCATCATCTAATGACTCAGCCTGGCTCTGGACCGGCGCCTCTGTGAACCCTGGGGAGGGTGACTCAGCAGCTGAGGGGGCCGGGCGCGGGAGCGCCTGCAGGTCCATGTGAGCGCTGAGTGTTGGGAGAACGGCTTGTTCTAGCTCCAAAGCCCCAAGGCGGAGCGTCTGCGCCTGTGGTCAGAAACACGCGGCCTAGGTCCCCAGCCATGCAGCTGAGCCTCCTTCCTCAAACCTGGGTCTCTCCTTGAAAGGTTGTTGCTGAATCACGCAAAGAAACCGGGGTTCTCGGCCTCTGGAGGAGAAGAATTCAATCTGGGGCCAGAGACGAGGCTGGATCGCTCAGAGCTTTTGTGTAATAAAGTTTTATTAAAGTATAAAGGAGATAGAGAAAGCTTCTGACATAGACAACAGAAGGGGGTAGAGAGAGTACCCTCTTGCTAGTGTTAGCAATGGAGTCATATACTCTCCAATGAATCCAAAGAATGTCTGGAGGTTGTAAAGACCTCACCAGACCTACTCCCATAATTTACATTTTAAGATAACAGAATTAGCCAGAAGGTTTAATCCAAAGACTGTCCTCAGGCAGGATACATTATTGTTTTATAATCCTAAAGACTGTAGAGGAAAAAAGTAAAAAGTTTGTCCCTTCTTCCTCCTTGAGTATTCCAGACCTCTCTCCTTGGGGACCCCTAGACTTCTTATCAACCTGCCTAGGAAATGACCCTCTCATCCTCTGCACTGGAGAAGTCACCGCCCCAGAGGCGGCAGGCCCGTGGCGTCTGCTCACGGCCGTGGGCCCGTCTGCGAGTGGCCAGGCCACAGACTCTGCAGGGTGGGGAAGCGGGGCCGTGTCACAGGCCAGGCACACAGCTGGACAGATGGTCACAGCATCTCTCTTCATCACTGAGGTTGGGGGAGCAGGGCTCCGGGGTCTTGCTTTTGCTTCCAGGTCAACTCAGAAAATGTCTCTTTCCCTTCAGAAAGGGTAGCATCTATTTTCTCTACTTTGAACCCTACATTAGGTACAGTCTCATTGGGAGAAAACAGCCAAAGCAAGGAGCCAGCGAACAGGCCCTGAAACCAGTGTAGAGGCTGGCGGTCCACGCGCAGGGTGGCTGCACTCAGACCGCTCGCTTCTCCCCTCCAGCACCCGCTTCCCTCCCATCTCTGGCCGCCGGGACCACTTTCTCACCTCGGTTATTCACACGCATCCTCACCTGCAAAACCCTTCAGGTCAAGAACTTCTGATTCACACTGAACCTTCCATAATCAGGTGTTCTGTAAATACTGGTGAGTGAAAACAGCAAATGAGTGAATTTGTGCTAAAACCTCATCCCTATCACTCACATCATTGGATCGAACAAGGGGAGGAGCTGGAAATCTTGCTGGGGCAGGCCTGGAGGCAAAAAGAATTTATCCCTTTTCCTTAGGAGGAAGCATGAGTAACAGTGAAATGATCACAAAAAAAAAAAAAAGATGGTAATCTCACTCCTCTGTACTTTTTCTTTGTTTCATAGCACTTTGACCTCCCAACACACTGTTTCATAGGATTATTTACCCTGCTTATGGTTTATTGTTTTGTCTCATTCCCCAGTGTCTACCCCAGGTACAATGCAAGCCCTAGGATGGGGCATTTTGCCTGTTTTGTGCACTAACACATCCTATGCCTGTAGAATAGTGTGTGAGATGCAGTAGACTCTGATTGAATGAATGCACAAATGAATGAAGGTTATGTGTGAACATTTCCTCTGAGAGACAGGTCTCTCCATCCGCTCTGTATTTATTAATGTATATTAAAGTCCAGCAGGTACGTATTATTACCATGCTTGATTTCAAGATGGGGATGGTGAGGTTCAGTTCAGTTCAGTTCAGTTCAGTCGCTCAGCCGTGTCTGACTCTTTGTGACCCTATGAATCGCAGCACGCCAGGCCTCCCTGTCCATCACAAACTCCCGGAGTTTACTCAAACTCATGGCCATCGAGTTGGTAATGCCATCCAGCCACCTCATCCTCTGTCGTCCCCTTCTCCTGCCCCCAATCCCTCCCAGCATCAGGGTCTTTTCCAATGAGTCAACTCTTCGCATGAGGTGGCCAAAGTATTGGAGTTTCAGCTTTAGCATCAGTCCTTCCAATGAACACCCAGGACTGATCTCCTTTAGGATGGACTGGTTGGATCTCCTTGCAGTCCAAGGGACTCTCAAGAGTCTTCTCCAACACCACAGTTCAAAAGCATCAGTTTTTCGGCACTCAGCTTTCTTCACAGTCCAACTCTCACATCCATACATGACCACTAGAAAAACCATAGCCTTGACCAGACGGACCTTTGTCAGCAAAGTAATGTCTCTGCTTTCTAATATGCTATCTAAGTTGGTCATAACTTTCCTTCCAAGGAGTAAGTGTCTTTTATTTCATGGCTGCAGTCACCATCTGCAGTGATTTTGGAGCCCCCCAAAATAAAGTCTTCCCTCCTGCACCCACGCAGCAGCCGCTCCTTGGAGGTGGGGTAGCTCCTCTCAATGGTGAGGTTAGATTATGTAAATGGGATCACCAGGAGCTGGTCAAGGAGCTGGGCAGAGGTCATTGCCAGCCACGGCTGGCCTGGGGCCAACTCCCTACTACTCCCTGGTGAGGTGAGGCACACGACGCCTTCCTGGGAGCCACATCTACTGCTGGCCAAAATCTTGGCTTTCTCTGCCCACCGAAGCCAAATGAAAAATATGGAGATGGGTTTGGAGGAAATAGAAAGGTGGTTTTAATTCTCAGCTGGCAGAGAGGGGAACCCAGAAGGCTCATATGCCTCAAGAACTGTGCCCACCTTTCATGAGGAGTCTGTGTGTATGTGTTGGTCGCTCAGTTGTGGCCAACTCTTTGCAACTCCACAGACTATAGCCCGACAGGCTCCTCTGTCCGTGAGATTCTCCAGGCAAGAATACTGGAGTGGCTTGTCATTCCCTTCTCCAGGGGATCTTCCCGACCCAGCGATCGAACCCTGGTCTCCTGCATTGCAGGCAGATTCTTTACCAGTTTGAGCTACAGGGAAGTCCTTTAGGCGAGGAGTCTAGGGTCTTATTTAAGATGAGGGCTCGCAGTTGGGGGTCAGTGAAGAGGACCAAAGGTGTTTGGATCTTGTCAACAAACAGTCATAGGCCGATGTCAGTAACCCAGTAATTGAGTCTGGCAGTTCCATGGCTCTGTGGCCTTCTTGCTGATGTGTAATTACAAGGGGAAGGATATTGTAAGGATAAACACCAGATACAGGATGCATTAGGCATAGAGTCAAAGGAAAATAGGTGCAAAGTGTAGCTCCTGCAGAGTTAGGGGGCAGAAAAGCAAACTCAGTTATAGACATGCTGATTTAGGAGCAGCTGAAGTATGGACTGTAGCCCGCCAGGTTGCTCTGTTCATGGGATTCTCCCAGCAAGATAGTGGAGTGGGTTGCCCTTTCCTTCTCCAGGAGCTCTTCCTGACTCAGGAATCGAACCTGGGTTTCCTGCATTGCAGGCAGATTCTTTACCGTCGGAGCTACTAGGGAAGTCCAAGGTAAAAAAAAACAAAAAACAGCTGGCCCCCACCGCCGGCACCCCACAGACCACGTGGGAGGCTCCCAGGCCCAAGCCCAGGGCAGGCAGAACTCCCCAGGTCACTTGTCTGTGGGAGCTGAGCTGGAACCTAGGGAGGGGCCTACACAACCCTGGGCATGAGGGCTCCAGGCACTGTCTCCTTCACAGGCCGGCCCTGCC